GGGGGGGGGGAGGAGGAACTGGAGAAAAGAATCCCCTCTCTCCACAAGACACTAACTCTAGACACCTTGGATCTGGCCGGCGGAGGTTTGGGGGGACCTGAAGGCAGATAGTCTCAGCTGTAAGACTAGAAAGGACCAGAAACTCATCCTTGAAAGGTGAGAGGAGAGGAGGTCCCCAAGCTTGTTCACTTCCCCTTCAGCCTGCGTCTGAAGGGGGCCGGTGTGGGGGTGCAGTGAGCCCCAGGCCCCGATGGGAAGCCCCTCACCTGTGATTCTCACCCTCTGCTGAAGCTCAGAATCACCTGGGCGATGAATCATGCTGATGCCCAACCTCCCCCTCCACCTGTTAATCAGAGACTGGGGGATGGGCCCCAAGTATCAGAATGGCAAAGAAAAGAATCCCCTCTCCACAAGACACTAACTCTAGATGCCTGGATCTGGCTGGCGGAGGTTTGGGGGGACCTCCACCTCCACCTGTTAATCAAAGACTGGGGGATGGGCCCCAAGTATCAGAATGGCAAAGCTCCCTGGTGGGGTGGCCAAGTCATTCCAGTTAGCCTAGGACTGACTTTTATACTCTTTCTGAGACTTTCTGTCTTTTAGCACAAAAAGCCCTAAGACCAAGGAAACTGTTCTGATTTTTTTTAAGATTTATTTATGCATACAGAACTGGGTACAGGCCAGAGGTGCAAAAGCAGTAAGAGGATTCACCAGAGACAGAGTGGAGAGCAGAACAGGCCAACTGAAGAAGTATACTGCTGAGGGGAGCAGCTAGGTGACAGGAGAGGTCTGCTGGATCATGTGGGTCACCTCCCTGGCCAGGGATCAAACCCGTGAAGCAGCTGTGGCCAGCTCCTTAGTGCTGCGCTTTCGCCTGTTGCACCACCAGGGAGGGACCCAGTTGTGGTTTTAAAACCACAAGTGTCAAGTGCCCAGAACCAATGCAAACCAGGGGTACAGCATCCTACCTAAGCGCCAGTTTGAGCGCTTCTGCTCACTGAATTTTCTAGAACCTGTTCCAAAGTCATAATGTGGTGCTGCTGCCCTTGACCCATTCTCTGGCCAACATCCCTTAACACTGTGCACAGCCCAGAGTTAAGCTCTCCGAGGAACCGGAGAATGGGAATCTCAGCCCTACCCTCAAGAGCTTCTAACCTGCAAGAGAGATGAGATCATATGCCCACATCGTGTTACCAACACAAATACCATGAATGTTAGTAAGAACAGCTTGGTGAACTGAGAAGCAGAGGGGGAGGAGTTCAGGGCTGCCCAAATTTGAGCTGTTTTCTGCTAATTCCAACCCCCACGTTTTATGCTGAAGACGAGTCTCCAGGCAGGACACCCTGTGAGTGCTCAGTGCCTGCTGGGCACAGCGACTCTCTCGTGTCGAGGACCCAACGGCATTCCTGTACTGCGCCCTAACTGTGTGCCGGCAGAGTTTAGATAGCCCAGTCGTCAGGGCCTTCACCGTCTCAGTATGGTGAACGGCAGCTGAGATGTGGCGAGCAGCCCAAGGGACCTTCCGTCAGGTGGGGAGCAGGGCGTGAACCTGCTGTGCTGGAGCAGTGTCTGACCCCCCTCTCCCACTGGCATTACTCTCTGCCTCTTAGGAGATGCAGAAGTTGGTGTTTCCCACAGACCTGCCCGTGAGCCCACGCCTGCAGAGAATGGGCATTCCTTGTGCCACTGAAGGGACTCTGCAGGACTTATTCTTGTCTTCTGCAGACCTGGGCTTGGGAAAGTATGATGGCAGCCGCGAGAAGGAGCAAGCAGCAAGCCACGTTAAAACGCCTTTATTCCCCCCCATTGTTAAAGCAGCAAAACCAAATGATATGAAATAATAAAACTTGCAAAATTTCATCCAGGCCCCGTGTGGCACAGCTTTTTATTAAAACCAGGAGCAACGAGGGACCCATAAGCTGGGACGTTGTCCCACCTGACCACTTTTAGATGCCTTGAGGCATCCCATGAGCAGGCGCTGTGTGAACAATGGGGGAGGGTGAAAAAACTCAGGGAGGGCAATAGCCAAGTAGAATGGCGGGGTGGAATCTCAGGTCCATTTTCTTAGAAGTCTGAAGACAAAGGAGGGAATAGTTAGAGTTCAATGAATCAAAGACACTCCCCATTTTCCTTCTCTAGCCTACCATCACCTGTGAGGGGATCCTTCAGAGTTGGCTCCTCACGATCACACAATGGCTGCTACTGTGCCAGCCACCTCACTTTCACACAAGCACATCAAACACTGAAAAGAGAAGGTTTTTGTGTTACACAGAAGAGGGAGTCAAGGGGAAGAAGCTCCCAGAGAAGCCGCTCAAAGATTTCCAGCAATTCTCACAATGCGTGGTTGACGTCCCTGTGACATAACTCAAGGGAAGTTGGGCAAATATTGTGACTCCCTGAGAGGGAAGCCCTATCCACAGCAGAACACCTCGTAAGGAACTGGCTGATGAGAAATCAGAATGTCTGTCCTTGGGGTACACTCACTGGTTTGCAGACAGCTCATCACAATGAAAAATGTCCAGGAACGCTCAGTTGAAGTTTCTCTCATAATTCCTAAACATCTGTACTAAGATTGCTCCTAAGAAATTTACTCCACCTTAGTTTTCATTTCCTGTGATTTTAAAAGGAATATTAGAAAGGATAATGAAAACTACTCATAGAAACAAACAAGCAAATTACAGTTCCCCAAATTGCGTTTAGACACAACTACTGTTTGCATCTGGGGACTTTTAGATTGCTTTTCTTTCGTTCTTTTTTTAAGATTTATTTTATTTATTTATGCATACAAGAACCGAGGCATAGACCAGAGGCGGGGCGGGTAGGAGAATTCACCAGAATCAGAGTGGGGAGCAGACCAGGCAGATCAACTGAAACACACTGCTGAGCAGTGGGGAGACAGGAGAGATCTGCTGTGCCCTGGGTCATCTCCCTGGCTGGGGATCGAACTCGTGCTGCAGTTGGCTTGGATAGCCTGACAGTGATGACACTAAAGCCCTCCACCACCAGGGAGGCCCCTAGATTGCTTTTCAGTCCCTTGCCCTGATTGACAATATTGAACTTGCCTTTGGGCTTAGATCTGTCCCCATTGGTTTTGATTGTCTCTTGCCACCATTGTTCAGCACCCTGGGGAGGTTCACCTGCCCACTTTCCGCCCCTCTCTTGACCCATGGCCCACCCAGGGCAGCTGTTTGCATCACAGCACAGCTCCAGGCAGGTGGCCTGTCCTTTCTTTCCCTCAAACTTTAAATACACTAAACAACCACAAGACAAACACAAAATCATTTGCTTAATCCTTAATCTTTTGCTTAATCCTTAATTCATTTTTTGTTGAAAATCATTTTCTCTCTGGTTATATGACAGGCAGGAGGCACCACTGCCCTCCTCTTTTGGCAGTGGGTCCCTTTTGCAGCCCTGTGGATTCATCTACTATGCACTTGCCTGTTCCTCTTACTGATACCATTTGCAATGACAAAAGCAGAATTTTGTATTTTACTATTTGCCATTTCTCTTAAACCAGAGATGCAGAAATTCTAGGGCTAAATCCAGCCCAGCTCTTGCTTTTGTAAATAAAGTATTACTGGAATACACACACACACACACACACACACACACTTGTTTGCTATTGTCTAATCTGCTACAACAGCAGAGACCACAAGCTGCAGTAGACTCTGACCTCCAGGGCCAAAACTCTTTACTATCTGGCCTTTTACAGAAGAAGCTGGCTAGTCTGTTTTAAGTCAAATTCTCCTTTACAATTTCTGCCTAAAGGATCGCTCTTATCTCTGGCTTTTAAAAACTCCTCAAACCCAGAGCCCATCTAAAGTGTCCATGAGACTTTCAAGCTCTGGCAGCTATGATTGGAGCCTGCGCCCCACGTCTTCGGCATAGGGGCTTCTTCAGTTTCACTCCCACTCAAGGAAGTGGCCACTTGGCAGAGGAGGAAGCAGAGGTCACCAGGCTAAAGGAATGTGACTGCTAAGTAGTAGAACCAGAATTTGGACCCAGGAGGGGATGGCTTCAGCACCTCTGCCTCACCGTTGTGGGGGCCTGCCTGGCCCCTGGAGTAACCCCCGCCAAGCTGTCGGAGTTCCTAGTCAGCCTCACCTCACCAGGTTAAGCCCCAAGTCGAAGACCTCTGCAGGTTCCTCTGCCTTCTTAGAGCCCAGATCCCAGCAAAGGAAGCCAAGGCCTTATCAGCACCCCCACACACACCCGCCCGAGAAGTGCTGCAGGTAACAGCCAAAGCTGTCACCATCATGATGGTGTTTCAGTCAGCAGCCTGCCCAGGTGGATCCTGGCATGTAGACGCCACACAGTGAGGTTTACGTAACTGCATTGTTCACCCAGCAAAGGCCACACGTCTCGTCACTAAGCGCCACTCTCCACCTGCCTGCAGGCGAATTTCCATCTGTATTGACCCATCCGGCCTGTTTTGTGCACAGCCTGTGTGTATAATCTTCTTTCTCTCCTTACTCCAACTGCCTTCCTCCCACCCACTTCCACTCCGAGGTGGGGGAGCCCTCTGGGTGTCAATGAGGACTTAACACAGAGCTACCCCCGCCCCAGGAGTGATCTCTTTTTAAACCAACTGTAGGCTTCCACCCAGAACCCAAGCAGAGAGGAAGCTCAGGAAATGTTGGGTTAATGCAATTACTGGCCAGATACAGTGGGGCAGATACCATGAACATTGCAGACCCGTGGAGATTACCAATGCTCAGCCCGCATGCCCAGGCATTGAGGGGCAGAGGTGTCGATGTGCTCCCCAATTAATAATAAATCTGATGTCTCACACCCAGCTTTGCAGGAGCTCAATACCCACAGCAGGGTCTCCCTAGACAAGTGTCTGCTACAGGACTTACGCAAGGCAAGATTCATAGG